ATCCATATATCATACATTTAGTAGTTAAAAACCACCCATGTAGGCCTAGGCAGTAGTTAAAAACCACCCATGTAACAATGTAGGCGGCCCAGAACCTGCACCTCCATGTTGCAAAGGGTTCGTCTGTTTCATGTAGAACTTAAGATGATTTGACTGACTTTGATTTTGTCCCATCCAGTCTCTGCGAGGTATTTCGAACGTGAAACACATTTGACATAGGCAGTATCACCAAGATCCTGTGCAGATGCATTATTTAGACCTTGTAGTTAGTTTACTCCTTAAAAACCAAGAAGTAGATGTTCATACTTTCAATGGATTGCTTTAAGGGATCATTTAGGAGGAAACCATGGTTTTTACCATAACATATAGGGTGTTTCCCGTAAAAGGCTCCTTAAATCAACTCAATCACAGGTTGCTTCATTTTGAGATAGTCCATTCCAGTGCTTCAAACATCACCCATTCCGCGCACCGAAATCCCAGAGGCGCGGAAGCGTTTCCTGCGCCTACGTGGGGCGGTGCTCCGGCTGCAACGGCTTCTGCGGAGGTGGCGAGATCGCGAACAGGAGATCCGGAACAGACCACCGCTGTGTTTGGCATCAGTAATCCGCTTAGTAATCCCCAAACAGATGCCGAAAAGTGTGAATGAAACCTGGATTTTTATATCATGAAAATTCATGAATCTATAACTTCCTGGAGACACTTTTTTTGGCATCTTTTTTGGGGTGCTGTAACCCCAAAATATCATTCGTCCCCTGAAATTGGCCATAAATTGGAATATATCCATGTGATTCCATGTAATTCTCATTCCTGGAGAAACCCATGTTGTGGGTTTGTCGATGGGAAACACTGTGGGATGACAAATGGAACGTTTTATTGTGGGACAAGATTTGCACAAACCATGGAATTATATGGAATTATGCTTTGTCAAGATACATGTGGAACATTTATTGGAAACCAAATTGCATAAACCAAATGGACATCGGTTTCCAAACCATGCCTTGATTGGTTTCCAATCAATGCCGCTCGGCAGATGTTCAGCTCGGCTATGGGATCTTCCAAAAATTTTCTGACCGTTCAAAGGAGCTCGAAAGCTCCGAGATGCTCGTGTCTTGTGAGGCCTGGGTATCACTTTCTCCTCATCTTCGGGAGCCTAACAGTTAGCCTAACATTGGGTCATGAAATCCTGAAATCTATGGAAACCCGAAGTTGGCAGCATCCAAAGATGAAATTCATCTTCCTGAACCCAGCTTGTTGATTTCCATTCTAAACATGTTGGAATCTTGTCGGCGGCAACAAGTTACTAGGTGCAACATGGTGGAACAATGTTCATCATCATCATCATCATCACCATCACCACCATCATCATCATCACCATCATCATCATCATCAGATCATCATCAGATCATCATCAGATCATCATCATCAGATCATCATCATCATCATCATCATCATCATCATCATCATCATCATCATCATCATCATCATCATCATCATATGTATGTGCTATGATATAGTATATTATATATCATATGCCTTCATTCAAGCGATTCAAACCAATGAAATGCTGGGTTGCAGAACAAAAGGTTTACAATGTGATGCCCCCCTGGGTCATAAGTTGGTTGAACAATCTCACTAGCTATATAGTTATAATAATATATCTACTATAACCCCTTTGTTAACCCCAATGTTAACCCCCATGTTAACCCCTATCAACCGACTCAGCTGGCGATCTAAGCCACCGCGGCGAGCGTTGCGCGCGTTGCGCCCAGGCAGGCCCACATGAGGTCATGGGAAAAGACACTGAGCACCTCGCCAGCAATAGACCCAGATTGCGGTTGGTCATTTCATGTCACCATCACCATGCTATTAATAGGTAAACCATCTATCCCTATGGGTCATCAATACCATGGCTATGTTAAATAATTAACCATAGGGTATTTGTTTAATGTTAAACAGGTCAAAAAATATAAAAACCATCTTTGGGGTTGATCATTTTCATATCCAAATTGGATGAACCCAGTTGGCCAGCGACTAATGGTGGGGGGTGCCTGCCCAGGTTGCAGACCCCGACCAAGCCAGGCTGGGAGCTGCTGATTCACTTTGGAGGAAAAACACCATAGATCCATATAGATCATTATAGATCCACATAAAATGGTCCTTGAATTTGAGATATCACATATCATGATATATCATATTACTATATGATAAATCATGTTTATAGCAATCACTGTGCTCAATTAGCCTTGAACTTATCACATACATTGGCTTCCTTTTTGACGGCTCACATGCACGACACTTTGCACAGAGGCGGACATAGATTCACACTGCCTTTCGAGATGCTTCCCTGAGATTTCAGCTGAAACCCTTCAGGCCATTTGCGTCCCGCACTTCGCGGGGCCGCACGACGAAAGCTACTGGGTGAAGAGGTTCACCCGGGCGATGGTCGGAGGTTAAGGGTGGTGTGGTGAGTGCTGTACTCATGTTAGTAAAGCAATGTCATAAACCAGCCATATGTTGATGGAGCTTATACCACCCAGCATATGGTGTTTTTTGTTTTTTTTTGGATGGTGTATTCTATTGTTTTACTAACATTAGTCATATGCCACATTATGTTATCAATATCCCATTGAGTCCCATCAAAACCAATATGTGATCCGCATTAATTATATAACATAATGATAACCAATATATGATCCACATTGAATAGGGTCATATTGAAGAAAACATGATGTTATCGATTACTAACAATTATATATATATATAAACCCCATTGTTCACAGCAACAAGTCCAGCCACATCCCGCCGTTCAGGTTTCATTGCAAGGAGGTGGAGACAACTGGGAAGTGGGCACCGTGCTTCGTCGGTCTCACAGGGAGCCGACTAGCAACAAATTGGATTTAACATGATTTGAACAAGACAATTGGGAATTTATGGTGACTAACCATCATATATAGGATATATAGCTAATATATTATAGGATATATAGCTAATATGTTATGATTATATCACCATATGTTGATTTATGTTAGCTAAGGTGGTGTAGTTCACTCACATGCATCTTTCAAGCGAAAAAAACTTTGGAGAATTCTCACAGGCGTCCGAGTAGGACAACAATCCCCAACTTTCTTCAGAACAAGTGATTTTTTTCGGTAGATCTCAATGACTCTCAGTAGGAGCCATTAGGTTTGTGCGACTTACCCACAACAGCAAAACAGCCTTTGGACTCTCCAAATGCTAAGCCAATGTCTTCACATCTTGAGCCCATTTATAGCCCATTTATAGCCAATCCCCAACAGTTAGGGCCCTTCTGTTGGTAGGTCTTCGCAGTCCCGAGCGTAGAAAGTCCCGCAAGAGCTGTTGCATGGCTGAAGTGTAGTGGCAATCGAGCAAGGTTGAATTCATCCCTGGAAGATGGGGGCCTTAGGTCCTTAGCTAAGCTGATTCATAGCAAACATAGCTAGGGTTTCTGGTGTATATATCATAAATCATCATGATATTAAAGTTAATGGGGATTATACACCAACTTATTATGAAGCAATTTAATAACTAGGGGGCCCACCTATATTGGTGGATAGTTGGATGGGGTTTTCCTGACTGGTTGAATGGGTTTGACCCTCTGTGTGCCAGGTTCAAACTGATTTTAATGGTTTATATAGCTCGATGGTGGCTATAAACTTAAAAAAAAGCATGTCACTCCCATTCAAGGTGAGATCATGCATATACAATGTTATACTATAGAATATGTATATAGAATTATACATATATATATATATATGTATATGTATATATATATGTAAATATATATGTATGTATATATAATTGTATATGTATACTGCTATATATATATATATTCGCATCATGTTTTTTTGTCATGTTCCCATTACTTCAATGGTGGTTTCCCAGGTCTGCCAAGCCCGGAGAAGAAGGGGACCCAGGGGAGCGAGTCTCGGCCTGTGGAGGTGGGAAAATCCATGGAACATCAACTATTTTTTATCTGGTGAATAGTGATGGTTAATAGTGGTTAATAGTGGTTAAAAATAGTGGTTAATTGTGGTTAACTATACCATGGAGGTTAATAGTGATGGTTCATAGTGGTTAAAAAATGGGTATAAACCAACAACAATGGGAATATGATGGTATATGATGGTGAAAAAAACTGGTTGGTGGTGACTGGAACATGAATGGATTATGACTTTCCATATATTGGGAATGTCATCATCCCAAGTGACGAAATCATATTTTTCAGAGGGGTGGGTATACCACCAACCAGTATCTATAGAGAAATGGAAGATGTGACAAATTGCCATGTTTGATGACCGGATGTAAAGTGAATTGCCCAGTGCCATTATTGTCAGAGGTAGATTACATCAGAACGACAAAGAATGGGACCATGAATTAGCTACAGCTAAGCAGCTACGGTTTCTGATGGGGCCTCAATGGGCCTAAAGTCACAGATGATTGGTCATGTTTAGCAGATTTTAGCAGTATGCCATTGTCGGATATCAACGGATATCATGTCTCCCTTAAAGAACCATCCTACACCGACACCGCAAGTCGCCACTGGATTCGCCTCTGTCGGATGACATTGTTGGACGACCAACTGGGAGCCGCCACTGGATGCCACTGGCCGACCTTTGGGGTAGCTGTTTTCCTCAAAAAACCATAAGAACTGGATGTTTGATGAGATCGGCCATGCTGTGCGGAATGTTGAAGTAGCGTCGCCAACGGAGCCCACTTGAGACAATGTTTAGCAAGAACTACAACAAGCACTGCTAAATTGGAACATGTGCGCTGCATCTCTTCATGTGCATCCGGGCAAGTTGCGACAATCATCATCGGCACCTAAACACCAACAAGAGTTTGTCTGAAACTTGGGCATCCCCAATTCTGATGAGTTATCGTCCTTTGCCCCATTGAAACGGCCGACTTCGGATGGTACAAAATCATTTTCAGACACAGCCACAGCCAGAGAACTGCTTGGAACTCCACTAAACTCGGCCATGGAAGTGCTGCAAGATCGCGCTCGACGGCTCTTGCGCATCCTTGATGTGAAGCTTATCCCGAAAGATGAGCAAAAAGGAGGAGGTGTGCGGATGTTTGGGGTAATTAGCACTGCACCTCGCTCATGACTATATGAAAAAGAGAAGAAATATGAAGAGATGCATCATGATGTCATGAAGCGTTTATTGCACTTTTTGTTAGTGCAATAGACTTCCACCTCGAGCCGCTTGTATCTCCAGCCGCTGGTGTCCTGTCGATCAGCCGTGAGTCCGAACGTACCAAGGAACCACGACGGTCGCTTGTCGGTGGAAGAGTGCGCTTGCCTGCAGGCGACTGGGATGGGCTCGCTATTTGTGGTGTGATGCCATAGGCCTCAACTGGACCTGGGCACTTCAGGATGGGAACCAAAGAAATCTTTACACTTCTTCACAAGTTCCATGGAAGCTGGGGATGGTTATGTCTTGTGACCATTGCTTCTTGACCATTGAAGGAATTTGCGGATGTGCTTTATGCGATAATGCCAGAATGAAGAATCTTGACCATTGCTTGGGCTAATTAATCTGCTAATTAGTTGTTGCTATCCCCCAGATGGCCCAGATGGCTCCAATATCTGCAATCATTTTATCAAACTCTTTTGTCAAGGAAATACTGCAATCTACTGCAATCATCTGTACTCTTTGTGCGTGTGTGCAACTTTCAATTGAATCTTATAACATCTTATGTAATTATATATCTACTTGGAAGATTGCAAGATAGCGTGTATTATCGCTAGACTGTGACTGTGGGACTGGTCATCACTGGTCACCGTGAATTTCTGAACGATGCCTCCCTTTGACCTTGATAGGAAGATTCATGGCTCTTTCCGAACGATGCAAGCTTTGAACAAGTGCTTGATAGCACTGACCGTGCCTGGACTGAAGCCGCATTGTTCGGGAATCCAAGGATAGCGGATCTCGCGACACATAGTGGCCATGCAAAATTGGCTAGCCCAAAGTTCTAAAGTTCCACGGAAGTGGCCCTTTCAGTAGAGAAGCTGACTGGTGTTGGAGTTGGACAGGCTCCCAAAGTGACCTATTCCGACAGCCAGGTACACACAATAGTCACTAATATATACACACAGCAGATTACAGTAGTAGAAAGTATCTACTGCAGACATCGCTGAAGGACCCGCTCATCAGCTCTTCAATTGAAACCAGCAGTACAGCTATGGGTCAGAAGACTGGGATGTTTACATGTGGGGTGCCACATAAGTACCACATATCAACATGAGCAACATCATAACATTTGAGTACCAAAACCCTGGTTGATGACTAATTCCGGGAGTTATACTTTCTGGTTCAATGCAGGTTATTATCACCCATGTTGAGCTATTGGAATTGCCTTTGCAGCCTCAAGGAAGCTTCGTCGACGCGGATTTGCTCTGGTCGCTGCTGTCAGATAGGTCGGGAAACAAGTTGAAACAAGTGCTGCCTCAAAGCTTCCGGTTTCATCATGTTTCATCCGCTTTCCACGTATGTTTCATGGTATTTTTCCAGTTCAAGAAAAAGGGTGCAGAAAAAAACATAGTATAACATATCACCATGAGAAAATTGCCTGAAAAATTACCCAACATGAGTCCTATAGGGATGGTCTCGTAACGTTGACAACCCAATAATACACCATCCGCAACATTACCATAGATGGGTGGCTTATCAAATCATCAATGTCATAGTACATATAGATGTATAGTACCCAAAAGAAAAGATAGAAAGATACACTTCCGTAGAATCCGACTCAAAACGTGATAACTATGGCCTTTTCAGTTATTTCTTTTCAGGTCACAGTGAGGTTTCTCATGGCATTTCCCACCCCCCAGGCTCGAGAGCGATGCGACGGGAGGGGAAGAGTGGCTTCGGAAACAGTACCGCTTGCTGCGGCGGCCTGGCTGCGGAGGATGTTTGGGACCACAAAACTCTGATGGCGCAACGGTACCCTCTGGTAATTTAACATAGCTATTGAAAATGGCCATTTATAGTGAGGTGTCCCATTAAAAATGGTGATTTTCCATAGTTATGTTAGTTTACCAGAGGGTATCGCCATGTTAAACAAAGGTTGTCATTTGATCATCACATTTGATGTTTGTTTTGGATGTTTGGGTATGTTTGGGTGAGTCATCTGAATTCATCTGAATTCCAATATATTCCAATGCTTTATGATGTGATCGTCATGTTCAAGCAACAAAGGGAATGGGCGATTTCATCATTTTTGGATGCCCCATTTTGGGGGCAAACGCCACACCTGGAGGTTTCTTCTGCACATTTTCCTGCACATTTTCAGGACCTCACGTCGTGATGTCGTAGGAGTCACTATCCCAAAACATGTTCGGGTTAGTGTCCCCTGAGAATTGTTGGTTATAGTAAGTGTAATAATTAACATTTACAATATTCAGTTATTGCAGTTGAAAAACAATATCTGATAACTGGAAGTAGTTACTATATCACTATAGCCACAACCCATAGGATCCATGTATGCTATATATGGGAACATTTATCATATTTTACCATCAATATACCCCAAATGTTAGCATATATATCATACATGGATCCTATGGGCAATAAATTATCCTGTTATTGCAGATATGTCGTGTCCCCAAACTCTCTTGCCACGTTCAACTGCTGAGATCTCGTCAACCTTCTAGTGGCATTGATGTGTCGAAGAGCTTCACGGAAACTTGGCCCGTTGGAACGGGTTTTCAAAAGCTGAAAAACCTGGACTGTTTGGTGGTTTGAAATACATAAAAAAGGACTTTATGTTATCTTGAATCTATTGTATAATATATAATGGTTCAATATTTACATTAATTAGTTTTAATTCTGACTCATGTACTTTACATCCTCACTTGAGTTGATTCATCGTTTCCATTGACAGTCCTTACGGGGTTGAGATCAGCCAGCAGTTGTGCCTTCTGCACTTTTGTATCCGCTTCAAAGAAATTCCCTGAATCACAGTTGCCTGTCAATTGTGAAGTGGAGCAACAAAAACAAATTGCTGCTTGGATCTCTATCATCAATACCTCATACAAATTGTGTGCTTCACACTGATCGGTTTTCCATGGCTTGGCTCGTTTGGAGCTGAAGCTGCTTTACCCTGAGGGATCCAAGAGTCTCTATTGGATGCGCTCCAAATCAGCGCTGGGGTCGCTGGAGAAGCTGTGGGAGGACTTTTGCTCTGCCTGATCCTCAGTGGGCGCCCGGCCCCGAGGCTTGAAGTAGAGATCTGGAGAGATATCCATTATAGACATGATGATACTCTATTCCATTATATTAAATTATATTATAGTATATTATATTTTATTACATTGTATTATATTATATTAAAGTATATTATATTATAGTATATTATAGTATATAATATCATAGTATATTATATAATATTGTATTTTATTATATTGTATTTTTATATTATAGTATATTATATTATATTGTATTATATTATATTGTATTATATTATATTGTATTATGTTATTTTGTATTATATTATATTATATATTATTTTATACTGTGTATTATATATTTTATATTATATAATATATAATATAATATACTATATTTTATTTTATTTTTTTTATTATATCATATATTATCTATTCTATTATATTATATTATTGTTTTTTGTATTCTATTATATTTTACAATATTATATACATTATAATATATTATATTGTATTTTATCATATTATATTTTATATTTTATATTATATCATATTATATGTTATATTATATTATATTATATTATATTATATATTTTATATTATATTGTATTATATATTATATATTATATTGTATTATATATTATAATATAATATAATATTTTATTATACTATATGTTTTTTTTTTATTTTATACATTATATATATCATATATTAAATATTATATATTACATATTTTGTGTTTTTTATTATTCATTATATACAATATTATATCATATCATATTATTTTATATTAATTATATCATATTATATTATATTATATTATATTATATTACATTATATTATAGTATATTATATTATATATTGTAGTATACTGTAGTATATAATATTTCATTATATACAATAATATCATTATTTATATTATAATATTAGATGTATATTATATTGCATTGTATTATATTATCTTATCTTATATTGGATGATTTTATAGCACCAACCATCAAAGGGCTGGAAAATCCTTCTAACATAGTGGCAAATCAATGCAAATCACGTATTCTAGACGTCATCTAGAGTCTAGAGTGTCTCTTTTGGGGGTCCTTTCTGTTTCTTCCAGCCATGTATCACCGTGGCTTAGGCCTTGCAGGTGGAGGACATCGACCAAGCCTTCAGTCGCTTGATGGGAGCCTCTGGGGGAGTTAAGGCTCCTTTTGAGCCACGGATTTACTGATCGATGTTTGTGTATGGTTAAAATAGTGTTTAATTCTATAATATTCTATATGTATTATATGGTTGTGTATGTTGATCTTGTTGATGTTTCATTGGTTTGTCGAAGGTTTAATGGAATGTTATTGTGCCGAAGATCAAGCAGGAGTATAATAATTGTTTTGATCATATGCAAGATGGTGTCAACAGTATTTTGAAGTTTGACTGGGGGAGGACTCCTACTGATCGTTTTGAACATGAGTAAACTATCCAACTTTGGGAGGACCAAGTTGGAACCATACCCAAATGCATTGCGATTCAATCAGGGAAGGTTGGGAATCACCCAAAGCTGCTTTCAACCTGGATATTGACCTTTTGTGTCTAGGTTTGTATGCGTGTGTACCTCCATGATTTTGCCCTCGCTGGTAATGTGCACAGCGCTCTTGTTGGTTTGCAAAACTTGTGGCGTGCTCCGTAAAGGTGTTAAACAAGATAAACGGATGGCAGGAGTTTTGCTGTTTCGACATGCTCTAGGAAGTTGCAAAAAGGTCACCGTGTTTTTTCTCGACCAAGCCTTGATTCGTGTCAGTGGCCTCATCTTTGAGCTCTGCCGTTGCCAACCAGCCAACCAGGGGTATGGTCAGGCTTTCTGAGCTCCTAATGAAATGGCAAAACACTGAGAACTCCGTCAATTTGAGCTCCCTTTGCAGACAACATTCTGGTTGTCAATGTACTGACAGCATTTTGGTGTCTAAACCCTGACATCCAGACACCTGAGGTTTGCCAAAAACTTACCCTATGAGACATGGGACATACACCCTCATGTTTGGGCGAGGATGGAGGTCCTGGCTGCAGAATCAGCTCTCAGCTGACTCAGGTGCACTTTGGACTTCGATGCAGGAAGTTCAACTCAATAGTTGCACAGCAGCATGGACCAATGGAGGGTGCAACGGTTGCGTTGAGATTTTTTTTTCACCTGGTGGATCTGTATATAGATGCCATAGATTTGATCTCATGGGAAAGCAAACCATGGTGACGTGCCCAGTGGATCAAGGGTTCACCCAGAAGATTGATCAGTTGCCAGCGTACCTGGGGATCATGTTCCATCGGCGGGCTGAGGTTCCAAGCCGTTTGGCCCCTTTGAAGCCTACAGCAAATTGCTTCAGAGGTTCGGAGAGGGAGGCAAACTTGAGCCGCAAATGCTGAAAACAAATCAATCAACAAGTATCAGCACCAGAACCATTGGAGAAACTAAGGAGCCATTTCCAGTCACGCCCAAAATTCCTGAAATTCCTGATGTTGATGTTTAGGGAAAGTCCCGATATGTCCCGATTCATCCCATCCAAAGCCACATAAAGCCACTTATCGAAGCTTGGTTCCCAAATGTTCCCAAGCATTGATCCAAAGCCTGGTTGCAACGGTTGCAGGATGCCACTATCCATTCCGAGATTCCAGAAGCAACTGGACTCAGGCAACTCAGGCTGCAGATGGTCATGTCAATGTCAGGTCCATATCCCAATTTAAGCGTGTCCTTTTTGTTGGACATCGATTTTTTTCAGTTTCAGCATAGATTCTATATACGGTTTATAGATTTTATAGGTTTAGTATTAGTATCTATGATTTACCCTCTGGTTATTTAACATAGCCATGGAAAATCACCATTTTTAATAGGTAAACCATCTATCTATAAATGGGTTCCATGGCTATGTTAAATAACCAGAGGGTACAAAAAAATGTACCAAGCATTTCGTAAAAAAATCACCAAGCAGTTCTGGGAGGTCCCCGGGGGGGTCGATGGCACCGCTGGCCGCCCTGGGGATCCCTGGCAGGTGCCGATCCGCTGAAAGGTGAAAAACTGGCGGTGATTGGTGCTGGCCCCATTGGTCTCAGGGCGGCTTTAGAACTGGCCCTCTTAGGAGCAGAGGTGCCGGGGGAAAAGGTGGGGGAGTTGGGGGGCCCACATCGAGTGAAGTGAAGTTTAAGTTGTGAAGTTTTGAAGAAGGACTTGGTTTCAGATGTTCTGAACATTTTTTTTTCTCTGACAGCAGTTTGGAACCACCTTTATCTAGTGAATCTAGTGACATTCCTCCAAAAATAAATAGTTCATCAAATGTGTCTTGGTTTGGTTGTGTATGGCCAACTGCAGGGTGTATACTTGTGGTGGATGTAAATGAGGGGCGGACTAAAGCTTAGTGGAGAATGAGCCTTCAACTTGTTCCAGTGTGTTTTAGGGTCTTCTTATGCCAAGAGCATCGCTTGTGACATTTGAAGGGCCAAGGGGCCCAAGATTCTAAGCATCAGCTTCCAGATACTATCATACGGTATGCAAACCAGGATACATTGCAATGTTAGCTAAAGGGCCTTGTGAATGACATTTCCACATTTCTACAGCATGTTGCCAAAATACACTTCCAACATAGTTGCTTCCAAGAAAAAAAGCAGCTACTGTATATTCGATTTGAGTGAAGCTTGGGTGCAGTACCCCAAGATTCAGTGGGTTGTCATCATGTTCTCCATTAAAATGCAAATTTTGGGGTCTCACACCCCATTTTTTCACATTTTTTCCAGACACAAGCACATAGCATTTGGGACTTGGGACCATGAACCATTATGAAACTATGGTTCATTTTTCGGTCCCTGCGGCACAGATCTTTCAGAGCAGGTCCATGTCTTCGACAGCCGTGCATCCTTTAGTCGTCCAATGCTCAGGTCATGGAAGTTCTGGTGTTTTCTGGGGTGGACAGAAGGGTTGGGTGTAATTACCCTCTGGTAAACTGTTACATGACTATGGAAAATCACAATTTTTAATGGGAGAACTCACTATAAATGGCCATTTTCAATAGCTATGTTAGTTTACCAGAGGGTATGTATTTTGATAAGCCCGAAAACCATGAATCATCCTCAATTTGCCATGAAACGGGTGGGAGTGAAATGATTGAAGCCATCTGGGCCCTTCCGGGCAGCCCGGGGTCACTGAGGCATGAACATCCTGAAGTTGTGGGATTGGGCAGCCAGCGACCTCTTAGAATCTTGGCATTTGAGTTGGTACCATTGGTACCAAAAAAAATGCAGGTCACATGCAGGAGACTTGGCTGGCACAGACACTCTTTTGTTTCTTTTCCCTCAATTTGGCCATGTCATCTTGATGCAAGAACCGACATTTTCCGCTGTAGTCCACTTCAGCTTTGGACAAAAATAGGGAGCTCCAAGAATCTACTTCCATTTCCTCTGAAATCCCACAAGGGGTGTCCCCATCCGTAGGATGTCCAGATATCAGAAACGGTGATGCTCCACTTAGGAACTGGGTGCCAAGCATTTGTTGCCCAACTTCCTGACTTACATGGCCACTTGGTGGTCATCAGGTGTCCCAGGGAGATTAAATGCTTGTGATGAGATGGCTGTGGGTCTGAATCTGGGCTCCGTAAAAGGTACCAGCAATATGGTCAGCATCAGTCAGCATCAATGGTGATCGACCTCTCCAAGGGGGTGGTTTTACCACTATGATTCCTCATCAAAACTGACACTACTCGCCCAGGATCACATTGGAATCCGCGAATTGCAGGCGTTGCTTCTGAAGCTGTGTTTATTGGCCAAGGCTGGGGGAATGGCTGCAAAGCATGGTGCCACACTGCACAAGAAAAGTACAGAGTTTCAATGCCAGTCCAAACCTGTTAGTCTTGGGTGCATGGGGGAAGGTGAAGTTTCACTGGAATAGCGCTTTCAAAGTGGCTTGCTTGCAGATGGTTGTTGACCTTTCTTGTAGTTGCCTTCAATTCAGCGCTTGCGGAGTTATATCAGTGAATGGCTCATGGACTGTTCCCTCATCAGTTGTTTTCTTCCAGAGATCCCGCGGAGCAAAATCAACATTTTGCTGTTGGCCTTCCATCCAAGTGAAAGGAGAGGCTAATGGGCGCACCCGTGGTACTCTTTTGTTGGAGTATGTTTATCTTATATCTTGTTATCTTCAAACGTTTACGGTATTCTATCTGGTGGTTGGAAGGGGGCGTCTATGAGCTATGGATATCATGCCCTTTTTCATGCGCTAGATGGAGCTACAAATAGAATTTCCCAACCACATGGACAGTATTTTTGTTCATGATGAATTGCCCATCTATTGCTGGGAAGATGAATTCCACTATATTTTTATATATATATATATATATACATATGCTCACCCCCCCATGATCTACCCCAATGATCCCCAATGAAGATTTTACCTGATCTTTGCCCATGGCCCACCTTTGACCACCTTGGCAAGACCCTTTTGGTGCTCTTTGCTCATAAAAAGGTTAATGTCGCTTTGGAGATGCAGAATTTTTGACAGTGGCAAGATGGGAAGAAGCAAGTGCTCAAAGCATTTGATTTGCAGAAAAATGTTGTTACAAGAAAATGCTGCTTACAGGTTACAATCTGCCTTGAAGATAAGATATTCCCTCAAATAAGAAACACTATTCTTGCAAGAAAACTATCATGTGTGGAACAGTGGGTGGAAGAAATCCTGCACCACCGTGGATGGTTAAAACCCTATAAATAATGGGATAAACCACCTATTAACTGGTGCAGGATTTCTTCCATCCACAGAAGGATGAAATACATGCTTTAATGAAGCTCAGCCTTCCTCTCACTTCTCTTGTATGACCATGGTTTTCTGTTTTTTGATGAAGTACTGTAGAGGTAACATAGTAATTAAAAATAATGCGTTGCTCAAACATATTCAAAATACAATGACTATACCTTTGCTATAGCTTCCATATATCTTTACTATACCATTCTATTGACTCAGCACAATATCTTCAAGAAGCCTTTAATATGTCTTTTAAATACAATGTAATACACCTTCAATGCTTTATATGCAATCTAATATACCTTTAGTACACCTTTATACAAATACAATCTTATTGGCCATGTTCTTGCCTCTAACATACCTTTAGGATACCTTTAATATACCACAATATACCTTTGATGTAACTCTAAAATGCCATCTAATATATCTATACTATACATGTAATATACAATTTTATATACCTTTAGTATATCATTTGATATACCTAGAATCTACCTTATTTCCTTTTACTTGACCTTGAAAATAACCTTAGTATGCCTTGACGATACCTTGAATGCATATACCTTTAATATACCAGTTAATTTACCAGTTAATATGTTTTTAGTGTACCATTTAACAAAACATGAGAATACCTGGAATACATCTTTGATATACCTTTAACATACCTCTTATATATCTTTAATATATGTTGATATTCCTTTTGAAATACTGTTGATAGACTATGTCATATAGCTTGAGTGTATCATTTAATTTGCCATGAATATACATTTGTTTTTTTCAATATCCCTTCAATATACCATATACCATTTTATTGACCATGAACACATGTTGTTCTTAATATACCTTCCATATACCTTTGCACTACAACTCTTTTCTAAATTTTGTATAGTGCTTTCAAATGAATACTGCATAGACTAAGAGAGCTTTTTTATTGAAGTAATTCTGTGCTCTTTCAAAGGGGCCTCACACGTTTGTTGGCATTTTTCTAGGAATCCTGCGCCCATGAAAGAGTCTTGCAAAGTATGCTAGTTTAAAGCACTGTTCCATTTTCTCATACTGTGCGTAATCAAATGTTTGGAGACTCTCTGGGGATGGTTCCATGGAGAAAACAGAAAAAAAGAAAAACAAAAAAAAACATGTTGAAGAAGTCTTGGGGATGGGGGAAGCTAAGCCAAGAGTCACCAAAAATTGTTTGTTTTTTTTTGTTTCCATGTTTTTTTTGGTTTTCTTGTTGTTCCAGATGATAGGGTGAAGCAGACCAAGGGGTGAAGTGGTCAGACGAAAGTTCTGAATCAGTCATTGCCATTGAACTATAATGCATTAGATATGAAAATTAAGTATCCAAATATATTCAAACATCCATGTGCAGAAACCTGCCCCCCATGAGCGCCCCTTCTGCAAGTTATTGTTTTTCCGGTTCTGCGTTATATGCAAAAAAACATGGTAATTTCCATATAAAATACTTCTAGGTAGATCATCGGGGGGGGGTGACCATATATACCGCATTCTAACTGAGGGGGAGAAATATATAACCCTGCTTGGCACAAAAATGGCGAGTACGTCAACCCTATTATTAGACTGACCTGCAGATTCTTTGCAGCAGCAACACAAGGTGGTGCCCCGTTGGCTAAGTTGGCTAGCTACTATGCCTGGAGGGTATGACTGGCTACGGTAGATATATCGAACTTGTTAATGGGGTTTATAAACCAGCTTGTAAATACAATAACAATCAACAACATATAACTTATTGTTTTCTTGTCCAACTGTTTGAAGCCAACTTATCTATACTGAACAGGGGTTGGTAACTGTCCCATTTTGGGTATATTGGACATCACCTTATAATAGCCATTATAGACCATATACCTAATGGTTGGGTGATGTTCAATGGGGACATTTAATGACCCATGCTTAATGATCTTAATGGGTACCAAAGAACTTCAATCTGACACCACCAAGACGAGTCGATGCCAAGGCGATGAGTAAAATCCAGTTGCTAATCTGCAGAGAGATGGGGGGTTAAGTCATGGGGGTAGCCCCAAATCATTCACATTTTGGTATTGAAAAAAAAATGGTGACTTTGGGATCTCAGATGTTTTCCGAAACCCCTACATGGGTTTGTTTGAACATGGGATTAAGCATCAACATGGCATATAAAGCCAACCATAATTTGGGATATAGTGGGATACAATCATTGGGGTTATGATATAAAGAAATATGTATATGTATATTTGAATATCATATTTATTATATATATATACACATAGATGTGGATCAAATAAACATCATTTGGGTTTGTCTGAACATTGGGTCTACCCCCAATGTATCGTTATTTAATTGGGAAAATGATGACAGAGACGAACCAATATATAAGCAGCTAGAACAATGCTGAACCCGTTTTCTTCTGTGTACGAGCAAACATCAGAAAATATCAGGACCATTCATCTAACTGAAAAGCAAATTTGCAAGGATAATGACTTGAATTGTATCTGAATTGTGAAGCCTATGCAGATGTGGTGTGCTGCAAAGATTGTGTAGTGGTTCAGTTTCCGCAATGGATATGTTGTCATTTCATGTCATTTCTATCAACTTCAACTACGACGCCCTTTATGGAAGTTGCTTCCTCCGCATAGTTCAAGCATGGTTCCAAGTCATCCATCCTACGGATGATCCCGTTTTGGCCCTGCAGGTCGCCTGTCCGAGAGCGCTTACAACTGGTCACTCAAAAGGTGTTGACCCAATCTGGGAAGCCGACCGGACACTGGGCAGATGACCAGGTTCCACCAGTCTTGACTAACTGTTGACGAACTAAATTAACCATAATTTTTCAGCAAGTCACCAAGACATGGTAAAAACCCGGTTTTTGGTCGTTTGACATAGTGAACTGGAAAATTATCATTTTAAATATACCCAACCTGGTTATGACTAACATAGCCATGGTATAGATGGCCCATGGAAATAGATGGTTTACCTATTAAAAATGGTGATTTTCCATGGCTATGTTAGTCATAACCAGAGGGTAGATAAATCGAACAAACAAAAAACAGACACATGCGCGGCTCCCTGAATTCCACGCGACCCGCATACACTTACATCATCTTTTATCAGCTGGGCTCATGCCTTGGTGAAATCACTATTGTTTATATTAAAATTCCCTTTGTCGGATATTGTTCTATATTTCTTGAGATCGCAACTTGAAAGTAAACGATAATCAAACATGGCCACGGAATCTTTCCAGAAATTATACCCTCTGGTTATTTAACATAGCCATGGAAAATGGCCCATTTATAGATGGTTTACCTACTACAAATGGTGATTTTCCATGGCTATGTTAAATAACCAGATGGTAGATAATGTTCCCGGCTATAAACCTCTATACTTCTTGAGGATTTCCCAGCCAGCCAAGTTTGATAAAACCGAAGGAAAAATACACCATACCCAACCTGGTTATGACTAACATAGCTATTGAACATGGCATAAAATGGCCATAGAAATAGTGGATTTGCCCATGAAAAATGGTGGATCTTTCCATAGTTATGTGACAGTTTACCAGAGGGTAGATGTGACTCTCGGATGTATCCAGAAACCCGATCGTCCAAGGACAGGAGGACGTCCAGACATTCTCCAGCCTCGTTGCATGTGGCTGGGCGGCACTTTAAAGTTTTAACGACCTGGCAGTGGATGGGAAGTTACACCCTGGTAAACCAACATAGCTACAATGTGAGGCCCCCTAGATAGCTAAGTTGGTTTATAACTCCAATAACTATGGTTTATGGTACTTATAACTATAGTTACTGGGGTTATAAACCAACTTATAACTGGGGGTACCACATTGTATGGAAAATCACCATTTTTAAAAGGCAAATCAATATAATTCAACTATAAATGGCCATGTTCAATAGCTATGTTAAATTACCAGAGGGTAAGCAATATGGGTGTTGCTTCTTAAATTGGGGGATCCCCAAGTCACCATGGGTTTCATTACTAAATGGTTTAATGACTTGGATGATTTGGGTTACACCTCCATGTAAGGAGGAAAAATGTGGTATGAAACCAGCCAATATATACAAATATGTATATATATAGTATATATATATATATGCCAATATGGACAGATAACCGGGGGGGTATTGTTGGGATAGATTCCAAGAACAGTGCTTGTGCATATTTAAGCATGACTCTCCATGTTTCTCCGTGGATTTGCCCTATGTTTTTCCCGAATTTTCTCATGGGATTGTGGGGGATATCTATCTTAATCCCCGCTGGGATGATCTACTCCGCTGGCAGCTGACTTACTATCCAGCCAGTTTTATCCCAACTTTCGTATCCACTTTTGTGCGATAGGAGGACTGTTGAACAGCAAATATGTATTGTGTGGACCTACTAGTACTGCATGTAGACTCGAAGAGTTGATCTCGGTGTCAAGCTGTGGTTATACTGCATCGTCCAAAAGACAAGAGACCACTACGTCACGACATGAAGAGTTGCACTGCGCAGCACCCTAAGGCGATGGTGGCAAGAGCAAGAAGCACGACCGCAAAATGGTGGGTGAATTCGGGTGACGCAAAATGGTGTCCTCACTGGGTCATGATGGCTAGGATTTGGGGAATCATTCCCTCAATAGAGGTCGTAAAATTTCAGCTATTCGGGGTTCTTATTTCAGTTTAGTTAAAATATTAATTACCTGGTATAACTTACCCAGTAAAAAGTGCATCCATGTTGCAACTGAATTACCAGACATCCACCAATTGTTGAACACTTGTACTGAATTTATCAGCCAACCCTTTCGGACTTTCGTGAAGTTGTCTCCAAAATTGCCTGAGATGATTTGGCATTGAAGTGCAATAATAGCTCTCCTTCATGCTTCAAAGTGACGTATTTGAGGTATCAACTGACCATGTTCGCATCCGAGCCTTTGCCCGTCCCACTCTTTGGAAGGGGAAATTCTAAACTGCTTAAACTGTATACATTTGTATACTGTAGCTGTTAACATGGCGGTATTCAAGCATTGGCATCCTTGTTCCATGGAGTTGTTCCTCCAAAAAGTGGAGGAAATGTGGCCAACTCCCATCGACCAGGCCCACAAAAAAACATGGCTTTTTAGCAGATGGGAACAGGGGAATCACCAGATTTTGTGGGATGACTTCATATTCTTTAATGTTGGCGAATTGATGCGATTTGTAGTTAAACTACAGCAAGTTGAGGCCAGATCAAAACACCCGTCGATGATCCCTGAAATGAATGAATGAATGAACGAACGAATGAATGAATGAATGAATGGTTGGTAGCTCGCTTGTAAGCCTTCGTAAAGGGGACATGTGAATTCTAGTGGATAGAACTCACTCTATTTGGTCACCCACCCCATCATCCCAAATCTGTATATTTCCAAACATCAACTATAATTATCGATCAGCAAAAATAATAATAGATATATCTGTATCTCAGTGTCCTTTTGCTTAACGTTTACTATAGTTACTAGTAACCCCATGTAACCCCCAAAAAAAGGTGCTAGATTTTAGTGTTTCACCCTAATTCACAGCTCAACATTTCGTTGGAATTCATAACTATGTAAAATCACGATTTTTCATGGGAAAATCCACTATTTCTATGGTCATAAATGGTCATTTTCCATAGTGATGTAACAAATTACCAGAGGGTACCATCTACCATCGATGGTACCTTACAATCATCAAACTCTGCACGGGATCTTCCAGTGAAGCCCCAGGGTGGCCGAGCATTTGGGCCTCAAACGTCACCGTGCGGACGGCCAAAGCGAAGAGCCCCGCAGTGAGATCGCGGTGGCGCCTGGACTGTGACGGTCAACGTGGGCCATGAAACATTTGTTGATCGTGATAGGGTTATATTATGTATTCTGGTTGGTGGTTTGGAACATGAATTTTATGACTTTACATATATTGGGAAGAATCATCCGAACTGACTCATATTTTTCAGAGGGGTTAAACCACCAACCAGTATTATGTATTATTAAGTTTTATGTATTATTATGCATTATGTAGATATATTGTGTATTGCATAATGTATTATAATGTATTATAATGTATTATAATGTATTATAATGTATTATAATGTATTGTAATGTATTATAATGTATTATAATGTATTATAATGTATTATAATGTATGATTATATATATTATATAATGATATGTATGAGAATATGGATATATGTAATATATTATTTATTATTATTATTGTTATTATTATTATTGTTGTTATTATTATTATTGTTGTTGTTATGTAATTATTATGTTATATTATCCTTTGCATATTGAGAATGATCAAAAAATCATCCATATGAGAAACCGTATTGACAGTGCCCAAAAATACGAATTGGCAGAAGATAATAAAGGTGATGAATCCACCTAATTACATAGGGAGTATGACCTTTGCCAGTATGGGAACAGCCGAGGTGGTAAATTTTCAGAACCACAAGGAGGTCGAGGACCGCCTTCTTGTTGACTCTTGGCCTGCAATTGAAGCAGTAGACAAATCCACGGCATGATGTTACTAGGAGAAGGTCACACCTGCAGCACCAATTGCTACGGTCACAGAATACGGACGTCATTGGAGCTTTATGAAGCGCCGATTGCAGTCCTATGTCGTTTCGAATCTGCTCACTGGGCATGACCAGCCCGGTGGTGGGTACCCAGGAATGCCCACGTGGAGCTACTTCTGATGAGATTCCATTGGTGAAGAGGTTGATTTATCTCCAAGGTGGGCTCAGGGCGCTTCCCAACCTTCCCAACCTCATGTGATGCAGGTGAGCCAGGGATGATCCTTGATGATCGGCACGATATTCTCACATTCTCTAGAGTTGTTTGGTTTGCTTTAAATAACTTAAGATGTCATGTTTGATGTGTGAAAAATATCGAAAAATTGGATCCTTCAAGCATTGTACCAACATGTACCAACTAAGCGTCAGCTCTGTAGTGGAAGATTCATTGATAGAAATATACCTTTCAGGGCGGAAGTTGCTTGGATTGATTTGCATGTCGAGGGTTGCATACAAGCAGCATGATTCTATTTACATAGAGTTGTGCCTATGGTTGCCGCCTAAAGTTGCTTTTATTGGGCATTTACTGAAATTTGTAATGGAAAAACTGCCCACATCGGAAAGCGCAACGTCAGATGAATGAAGGTGAGACGCATTATTTCATCATGACCGTGGACCTTGATGTCCTGATGAAGCATGGTGTGGTTACCAGCCAGGCACCTTTTCAGTCAGTGATGCTGACGCACAACTTGAAAGCAACTAGTCAAAGTTTAGAACTAACAAGTTCTAAAAATATCCTGAGAATACGAAAAAAGTGTAGGTTCTTTTTGCCTTTTGCACAGAATTTCTGGGTTTTCTGTCATTGAATTCCCATCGTTTTGGTGGAAAGGCTGTTCCACTACATCCCTGGCAGCCAGGACTTGGCGAATGTGAACCAGCAAAACCTGGAGATCTTGGCACGACAGGCCAGGGCCTCAGTCTCGGTTGTGGAGCAAGATGGCTATGTGACCAAAATGCCTGGCACATGTTGGGGGATGTGTTTTTCTTGTACCCTCTGGTAAACTAACGTAACTATGGAAAATCACCATTTTTAATGGGAAAAGCCACTATAAATGCTCATTTTCAATAGCTATGTTAAATTACCAGAGGGTACACTCTATGGATTTTCAAGCACTTTGATGATCCAAAAAACCTGTTCGAAACACGAGTTTCTCATTTCCGAACTGGCGTGGCCCCCTGTTATGCTCACGCTGGTTCTATTCCAAGGGAAGCGCAGAAAAACTAAGATCCTCCTTGAAACAAATCAGAAGCAGATCCCCGCGTGACCTGTAGATCAACAGAGCGAAGCATTTTGTTTGGTGAAATTGGAGCTGGTTGTTGGTTTGGAACATTTGGATTATTTGGGAATAATCATCATCCCAACTGACTAATATTTTTCAGAGGGGTAGGTCAACCACCAACCAGTTGGAGTCAGTCCCATCAAGTGCCTAGGTAGATTTGGGTAGCGGGATTGGAACCAACGGAAAACGAAATACGAAACAAACACCATGGTTTTTCGGTAACGGTTAAGTGCCAATCATCGAACCATGGTTTCCACATTGTCCACTCTATTGGGAACAATATGGTGGTTATAATATAATTATAATATAATTATAATATAATTATAATATAATTATAATATAATTATAATATAATATTATATAATATAATATAATATAATTATAATATAATATAATATAATATAATTAAAATATAATATAATTATAATATAATTTAATTATAATATAATATAATTATAATATAATATAATATAATATAATTATAATATAATATAATATAATTTATATATAATTAATATAATTAATATATATGTATGATATATATTTTTTTCCATGGAATACTAGTGTTGGAGTTGGGTTGAAATTCTAGGCCCTCAAAGCCACAGGGTTGGCAGGTCAGGTTTCGGTAATGTCCGTGTTTCAGGAAACCACCCCAAGATATCCCAAGTGATCAGCGTGGTTTGGAATATATACAATATACTACAATACATATATATATATATACACATACATATATATATATATATATTGTAGTATATAATATTCACACACACATATATATATATATAATTCATACATATACATATACATATATATATATTATAGTTATATAATATAATCCTAATTAGATATACATGTTACATAGCTATCTCTGTCCACCGGGCCCCCAGTCAGACCAGTCAGACCTTGCCTTGCGCCTCGTGTCACCTGCCTGAGGTCGTGGAGCTCTACTCCTCAGAGGCCAACGAAAAAACGGGGAAGCACTAAGTGGGATGAGCCGCCAAGTATGATGGACTTATATGGCTTTGACAGGGAAAACCATAGGAAAATGGTGGTTTAATGGGATTTAATGGGATTTAATGGGATTTATTGTGGGATACCCTCTGGTAAACTGTTACATAACTATTGGAAAGATCCACCATTTTTAATGGGAAAACTCACTATTTCTATGACCATTTCAATAGCTATGTAACAAATTACCAGAGGGTAGTGTACCTTAGAATTTTGAATAACTGGTTGGTGGTGACTGGAACCATGGAATTTTTAATGACTTTCCATTCATATATGGGAATGTCATCATCCCAATTGACGAACTCCATCATTTTTCAGAGGGGTAGGTATACCACCGACCACATTGGTCTGAATCACTGGTGTCATGCTTCCCTGCGCCAAACAGCCCTTGGGTAGTAGCTTTACCGTGTGAGGCCCCCCCAGTTATAAGTTGGTTTATAAGCCCGAGTAAGTATAGCTATCATTATAGCTATTAAACCCATGGAACTCCGCGTTGCGGTTATCAGGATTCTTGGCATGGACCTGGGACATCCAAAAACCAATGGTTTTTTTGAAGAACCCCAAAAGCAAATCTGGGTTGTCAGCTACAAAACCTGCTTGTTTTGATCCCATGTGGTGCTCATGGTAGTTATTGGAGTTACTGTATGTTCACCAACTTAGCTATTGTTCCGGGACCCCACTTTGTAACTTTATAAAAACACACACCTAGTCATACGTTGGCGTCATTTTTCCAGATGTCTATCTTGGCTTCTCCGGGACCCATTCCTGAATTGATCATTAGAGCCATACACATAGATGTTTAGTGTGGGCTTGGGGTTGGATTTACCACTTAGCCCATTAAATGGGAAAACTATCCATCTAACTGGGTTTAGATTTGTTTAGATGGGGTCCCACTAAAGTTGTGTTCAACTTTTACCAGGGTAACAACATTCAACAACTATTGAGCAGTGCATCATACATACTGTCAACGTTCTATCCACATATTAGTTAGCTACATCTAATTTAATCTCCAAATAATCCTCCCATGTTGGTGATATTCCCATCATTTTTTTTAGATTTCCATCATTTAAAGATCCCACAAAAATCCTCATGTTGTATCCCATCTCCTTTGGTTTTCATCCCATGAAGCCACCTCTTTCCTGCAGCATCTTTCCGCATCTGCAGCCCAGCCGTCTCCAAAAAGGTACGCAGAATCTACAGCGAGCACGACGGTGCGTTTGGCGTCGATATCCCCAGAGATTTTTGGGCGCGGAGGCGGGGATCGCAGTGGTCATGGGAGATGCCATGGCTAGATTCGATGAATGGGGGTTCAACCAAGATGATATTTGGGCGTGTCTTAAAAATGTTGGGTTAAACGTAAAGAATGGATGATTCAACAGCTGAAATAGGGGGGCTGAGGTTATATGGATGGGAGATTAATGGTGGTTAAATCATCAATCAAGGGCTATCAAGCCGACAAATATAATGGGCATGTAATTAGTGTGATATGAACAGGATACCAATATTTCTTGCGTGTGTGAAAATTCGTTTTTTTTGCACACCAACATTGCCATTTGAGCAGGGAAAATGTTGCTTGATCATGAAAATATGGGGTACCCTCTGGTAATTTAACATAGCTATGGAAAATCACCATGATTAATGGGAAAATCCACTATAAATGGTCATTTTCAATAGCTATGTAACAAATTACCAGAGGGTACACGAACGGTTCAGATACGGGGCAGTTGGATGCTCCGATGCTCCCAGATCGGTGGCCTTGGATCCCTTGGGTCGGCCGGCCATGTCGGTGTTTTCTTACCATGCGGATGCTTGGTGGCGGTGGGGAAAGGTCCCATCTGGATTGCAGGCAGGTCATTCTTTCTCACAAGGAAATGGGTATGGATCAATACCTATGAAAATACCATTTTTAGGGGGTTATTCACATCCATAAATCCCAGCTTTTGATGTGAACTACAGGGGTACAAGGTTTTGACACACTGCCAAATCAGGTGCTCGAGACTGTGATTTCGGAAGAATTTCAGCCAGTATGTAGTAACGTAGTATATTGACATATATTGACTATGACAGTATCTTTAAGCACATTCTGAACCCATTGCCATGCCACGAATCGTACCGGCACTGTATCGTGGGTCAACCTTTACTGGGGTGGTCAGTCACTAACCAAGAATTGTTTTATTTTTGCAGGGTATCACAAGTTCATATCGCGCACATTTGTTGGTTATGTGTGTTTACATGTCATTATAAGTCATATATATGTCCATATCTTCCCTATTTCTGTCCATTTCTGTCCCATTTTGTGGTGCGTATCCAAGACGACCTTTTCTTTACCGCGCAAGGATCTCACTTGGCTCTCTCAGCCTATGTACCTCTTCGAGCCTGGACAGATCTGCCAGCGGCTGCCAGGATTGCCTGGTGAAATGGGGGCATAGCTGGATGGTTTTAGAATGGAAAATCCTATGCAATGGATGATTTACAATGGTTTATAATGTTTTATAATGGTTTAAAATGTTTTTTAATGGTTTATAATGGTTTATAATGTTTTATAATGGTCTATAATGGTTTATAATGGTTTTTAATGGTTTACAATGGTTTACAATGGCTTACAATGGTTTACAATGGTTTATAATGGTTTATAATGGTTTATAACGGTTTATAATGTTTTATAATGGTTTATAATCATTATAATGGTGTTTAATGGTTTATAATGTTTTATAATGGTTTATAATGGTTTTTAATGGTTTACAATGGTTTGCAATGGTTTACAATGGTTTATAATGGTTTATAATGGTTTACAATGGTTTACAATGGTTTACAATGGTTTACAATGGTTTATAATGGTTTATAATTATTTATAATGGTTTATAATGGTTTACAATGGTTTACAATGGTTTATAATGGTTTATAATTATTTATAATGGTTTATAATGGTTTACAATGGTTTATAATGGTTTATAATTATTTGTAATGGATGATTTAGGGGTGCTTGGAATTTTGATGGCTTTGGGGATCAACCGTTTTTAATGGATCCAAAAAAAACAATGGCATTTAATACAAAAAGGAAGGGTTTCATTTTTGGATGATTTGGGATCCAGTTTTTGAAGATCCCCAAAGATTGTGGTGAGGTGGTTCAAGTTTTGACACACACCAAATCGACTAGTATGATTTGCACATGGTTTAATTATGATTTAGCATGAGATGAATTACGATACGTATGTTTATAATTTAGGAATGATGACTTGACATGGTCATGATTTCGTTCTGTGTGTGGGCACTTGCTTCTAAGAACTTGCCGGATACAAACTTTATCTAAACTGGCAAAGATGAGGGTTCTTCAAACAGTCGAAAGGGCGCTTTGTTGTACATATTCTGGAACCACGACTGCTTTAGTTTGCAACATGTGCCAAGTCTGTTTTAGGTCCACTGCCTTACCACACCCCAGAAAGTCGTCCCCTTCCAGCGCCGAAGAGACGTGTTTCGTGGGTCGAAGAATGCCTCACATATATTGGGGGCTTCCATAAATGGTGGTACCCAAAAATGGATGGTTTATAATGGAAAATCCTATGAACATGGATGATTTGGGGGTCCCCCCATTTTAGGAAACCACCATATGAATGATATCAAAACCTACTCTGAAACGTGCTTCGCGCCTGCAGCGCAAAAGCAAGAACAAGCCAATTTATGCTGGGTAAAATCCGAGGTTAGACCAGTGCTCCGACTTCACCAATGTGGATATATTACTTATACATGCATTAATAATTATTAATTATGTAATTACACATTTCAGATTGTATCGAATTACATGGAGTTTTGGAGGTTGCTTGGAAGTTGTTGACTAAATAGTTGGTCCATAGGGGAAATGTTCATCACTGTTACTGGTTTTTCAATGTTTTTCATAATCCCCAGATTATCCCGAACCCATCAACTCCCATTATCATTATACTTCCATGATATCCCGATGTTTGTTGCTTAACTCTCTATTTTTGTTGGCCCAACTTTAAGAACCAGAGCCTTCCAAGGATGAGAACTTGCCCGTCTTCTTCGCGGGGGATGCCTTGCGAGAACCTTTCTGGCCCATGGGCGAAGGTTGCGCGGTAGCTCATCGCACAAACGTCATGAAGATGAATATCAAGTTATGATCTATGTTGATCGAAATAGATTACGCATTCACCATTATGTTGATCTCTCCTAACTTGATGTGAATAGTACCTATTCACTTCAAGTTATCGTCTATGTTGATCAACATTTTAATCGTATGTGAATAGAATATATAAGAGTTTATGTTAAATAGTAACAAGATGATTATTATTGTATTAACGTTGCTATATGTTTTTTATGGCACAAATGTGATTATTGCCGTAGAATTATTGCTGTAGATCCATCCAGTTTGAGGAGTTTACCAACATTTAAAACAAGGGGTCAGGTCCCCCATTGTCAGACGTAAAATATCCATTTCAAGATCGAAGCATTTGTCTTTAATGATTGTTAGGGATTTGACATCATATGTGTTTATGAACTTCATGTGTTATGTATATATAATATATAATATATATGTTATGTATCATTAGTAATATAATATACATATATATACATAAAAGGACTTGGTGACACCTTCACACCGTCCTAAGAAAAAAAACAAAAAAACATCTTTTTCGGAGCCATGATCATCCTTATGGCCGGAGGTTGCAGCCGCGGCTTCATGGGTGCCTTTGACACTGTGTGGGCTGTCAGGCGTGGGTTCTGGTGTTTGTAGGGAACAGGCCCCCAAAAAAAGCAGGATGAATGTGACCAAATCGATCATCTACCCAAATATTTATTGTATGATACATATATAAACATAATGTACTGGTCAAAGCTTGAGTAAATTGCTCTGTTTTCGGGGGATGTTCATCAATCCAGGGTTTACATGCCCATTGTGAGGGTTCCCATTATGACCATACCACATCTACCATGTCTTGATCGTGTCACAAATGATTCCATATCTAGTTTAGTTTGTGCATTGTTGGGATGTGAACAGAACGGAAACCGGATGTCAACCCGTCACTTTTGGCTGATGTCATTTGCACTCAACCCCACATGACATCAGCCCATGAGGAACGAAACATGTCCCCATACTACCCTCCTCAGACAACAAAATGCACGTTCATCACGAGTATCTCACGAAACATCGGCCCTGTGAGGTGTTGGGCCAAAGGTCTTCGCGGGACGAGCATCTTGGTGACATGGACCCATTGTTTGATGGTGACATATCCCGCTTGGATGGCTTGGATGGCTTGGATGTGGCAGTTGGATGTGGTTGGTAAATCATGATGACCTATTGATGGCTTGAATCCAGATCTTGAATTATGTCAACCACATTTGATTCCCCAATATTGGTCACTTACGCCTTGGATCCCCTTGGTCACCCCCCAGCCACTGAGACCTGCAGCTTGCCGCAGGTCTCATGAAGCTAAGAAGAAGCCTCTTTGACATCGCCTCCCAGGTGGAATAAATAATTGAAACCATGGTGACGACTGAGATCCCCTCAAGAAACCCCCAAGACGTTCTATACATTTCTATACCGTATAATGCCATATATGGATAAACTAGGATAAACTGACTAAATGATTCACTGAGCTGAATACAGTGAATTCGGATATATCGTTGCCTCAACATTCTGGAAATTCTTCGTGTCCAAATATCTGGGAGACTTCTCCAAAAACACGGCACCAGCAATTCCCTGGGACCACCAAGATGGGCCATGATATAGGCCAGACTACTCTGACTCCGGTCCAAATATGCCAAAAAGATGATTCACCCCAAATCAAAGTGAGTAGCTTTCCGAGTTGTTTCTTTCTATTTGATAGAAGCATACAAAACTGCAGGGTGACCGAGGATCTCAATTCCAAAGAACGCTTGGATGTGTTGATGTCAAACTCTTTGAGTAGTCAAACTCAAACGCGGGTTCAATAAGCGTGGGATGCTCCTTGAATCTGTTCCAAATTGCCAGCTCATACCCAGTTGAACATCCCAGGACTATTGGAAATGAACATATATATATATATATATATCTGGGTAAATTATAACGACCTCACTGCGACCTCACTGGAAATCATGGTTAGTAAGGGGAATCATCCCCAAATGGCCTTAATTCAGGTTAGTGAAATATTATAATTTACCCAGATATATGTTCCCGTTGAATGAGGCTTGGTGAAGGCTGTGTGACATCAACAATGTCCACCATTCTTTGTTTCCACTATGGTCACTCCCCCTGGAATCAGTTCTGCTTCCAGCGCCGAAACCTTGTGCTGCGAAGCAGGTGAACCCCAAGAACTATGGCAAGGACGTCTTTTTGCCTTACGAACATGCCGCACCCTTTGCCGGCTTGGAATGGCTCAGACCCTCTGCTGGAGGTATATGGGATGAGGGATCACTCTCTGGGTCAAAATACTGAAGGTCCCTGATGATGGGATGGGCGACCATATCCCATATATATATATATATATCGATATATCGATATACCCATAGTGTTGACCGTGGAACACATGGGAACAGGTCAATTATCAAGACCCGGAGGACATCGGATGATGCTCCTCACCCGTGGTGAATCTACTTGTCCAACCATGCTTGCCGCTTCCAAATACAAAGACATTTGACCTGTACGTCTTTTGGCCAACACCTCACCATCTGGCAATATCCCTGGAATTCCCTGGATCTCCCAAACCACCTGGGAATATCCAAAAATATCTCCCAACATTCGCAGCTCAGCTGAGGCGTGCCAGGACTCCGTTGGCCAGCGTGGGGCTTCGACGGTCGAAAACGACCCATGAAGTACATCTTTACAGTGGATCCCAGAACCAGGCACCGCGTGGCCGCGTGGCACCGCTTTCAACGGTGATGGAGGAACTTGGGCTGAACCTCGATGGTTCTAGTAGAATCTGGGATGATTGATATGATGATTGATTGAAACCGGGATATTCTTGGAAGGTCCTGAATCTACAGACTCCTCAAAATCCGCCCACTTGGTTTGAAAGCAGCAGATCGTCATTGAAGTTTTACTGACAGTATTGCTGGAATGTGTCCACTTGGGCCACGCCAGCTTTCAGCAAGTCCTGTCAGCTTCTCCATCAGTCGCTTGATACGATAGTGCCCAGATCTTACGGCAAACAGCAATTTGGCTTCACAGTAAATTCTGTTCAAAATGGATTGGATGTACTGGAAGTTTTTGGGTGGAGACTGCATGCAGTATATATTTGTATGCATTTGTGTCACCCCTTATGGCGAGAATTAGCCACAGAAAGTGCAGAAGACATTCCACTGTTCCAAGGACCTGAACTCACGTGTTTCCTGCGCAGGTATATCTCCTACAAGGAAAATCCTGAGGAGAATCTGGAGCCGGATACTGTAGCTTCGTTAATGTGTTCGACGTGTTCAAAATGACACGTCCGTGCTGAGCATGGAAGCTGGTCACCTGGGCGGACAACATCCGTGACGGTGACCGGGCGAAATGGTGGCTCCACACTGACCTCCACGCGGACTTTCAGCACCAGATCTGCTGGGAGTTGTTCCGAAGTTGTTTTAGCATACTGCATCATCAACCAGTGGAACAACTGTGAATCAGACGGTCGAACGAAAATGGTCAAAACACACAAAAAAAAACAAACAGATTAACAGATCTATTTCTACCAGCATGCATGTCACACATGTATAGAAACTGTCAATCACATGATATCAAATGTCTCAAAATTTCTTTGGTTTTTGTCGTCACTTCACCTTTTCTGGAGCTACACCCCCTGCCCGACAGCCATTCATGCTTGCAGCTCCGACCTCGTAGAATCCAGCTGAGCAGCTGGGGGCCAGACCTCACACGTAGATGGCCGCCACCAACTTACGACTTGGCTGAGCTCAAAATCTGCTGAGCTTGGCCAAATGACCAGGTCGTAAACGAGTCTTTGGAACTAGAAAGGTCACCAAGATAGATTGGTGTGTTTGGTATGTCTAAAACCCTAAGGACGTCCATACCCACAGGTATCATGGGTACTGTATACTTTTTGCAAGTGGAGGATGTTTGGTGTTTTTCAGGCTACTCTCCTGACTCTCATGCAGATTATATGCTCATTCTGTAGCCGAAAACAGCCAGGTTCAGGCGTCACCATCACCCATGAAGGAGGTGCTGCGGATGAGGATGGCTCACTGTTTGGACCCAGGAAAAACATCACAGGGATATGAAGTAAAGGTGGGCTCCAAGAAGGATTTTGTTTATTCTTCAACATGTTTCAGGGTTGCGAAATATAGTGAAGGGCGTATTCACTTGGTACAATCGAAGAAACAAGGTTGGCCCTGTGACTTGGAGGATATCTGTGATATCTCCACAATTGAGAAGATTGGAATTTGTGTCCATGCCTACCTGTGTTCATCATGCCACAACACATTCTGTTCACGAGATTATCTGGCGAACACTCTCACAGATTGTAGTTTTTCTTTTGATGTCCAACCCAGAAGACCAGTGAGACAAGGCATATATATATATATACATATTCATATATATATAATACACATATATATATATATATAATATCCTATACCATCATACATCAGACACATTTGCAATGGGGGTTGCTGTTCAACGGTGGCTTTTCACCAACATGTTTGGCCCCATCCCAGGCATCCCAGGTCGCGCCACGCGGTCTGGATTCCGGTGCCTTGGTCTTGTCCGAGCTGTTGGCACAAGGACGGGAGGGTCAGCGGTCTGGGACACCAGGATGGGTTGGAGAAATGGGTGAAATTGGGATCAGATGATCAGATTATTAAGATTCTGATGACCTTAAAGTAAATTAATATATATATATAATTATATTATATTATATTATATATATATAACTTCATTGGCTTTATTTGGCTTTAATGTTGACATTGACGTCATGCATCTCCGATGTTGCTCAACATCGAGCTCTGAAGTCGGCAGTGTGGCAACTGCCGTTGTGAAACACGGAGGACTTCTGGTCGAAGAACATCTTGATACCGAAGCTGGGGCATCTTGACGAGAAGATGGGATGCAGTAGTCCTCCAAAAGATAGATTAGTAGGTGGGCTATCCCACATCATCTTTTGGATATTAAACACTATAACTGAGTTATAACCAGTTAGTAGGTGGGTCCTCCATATTATAACTGAGTTATAAATATGAATATTAACCAGTTGCTGGGATGATCCAGGATATATCATGAAGGCTCCAGGTTCTTCCAGGCCGGGGCAGGGTTGCGGTATGGCTGTCTCAGATCCATTTGCTCGTAGGATTAGCAGTATTGCTAAGTACATTAGATGTTCAGCATGTGGCTGTGTCTGAAAATAGGGTACCCCCAATGAAATAGCCATTTAATAGGGAAACTGATCATTAACCATTGGGTTTAGGCACACAATATTTTCAGACAAACCCATGTGCGTACATTTGTATACATTTGTAACATAGTAATTGATAATTGGTTGTACAATGGTTGGTTCTATGGTCAACATGTTTGGACAAATACTATGAATTCATCACGTATCGGGACATACAGTAGATGGACAAAATATTCACACCCTGCAGCACGCATTATGTTGAACCCCGCACCACCGAATCTCAATGTTTCAGCGCGCGTGTTACCAAAAGTGATGTTAGGGGTTTGATTTTTTTCGTCCTTTGGGGCTAATCAACTTCAGGTTACATTAACACTGAACTTTGGGGGCGAGGGGGTTGTACCGGATAGAAGGGGTTTGAATATTTCGTCCATCTACGGTATGAATGGATAAAGTGATAAAGTGACCATTTTTTGTAATTCATACCCCAATGCGGTAGAATTTATATGATGCAGATGTTGACAGCAAAATGCCACTCGTAGTTCACCCCAGAGTTCCAAAACATCTAAAAACCGCATCAGTTTTCGAAGAATCATATCCCAAGGATGGACCCTCCATGGATACCGCCTTGCTGTTGGCTCTGGATGAGCTTCGAGCACGTGGCACCCGTGTGTGTCACTCGACCACCTCGTTAGTCAAAGCAACATTTTTCAGCGGGCTTAAAACCACCAAACATTTTTTTGTACTTCTTGGTTACTTGGTTTATGTTTGGTCGATTTGGTGATACCTCAATGTGATCCAGTAGACTCTTATGGTTTGGTAACAAGATATACTTTAGATATCCTCAGATGAGATGATCTTATGTAATTATATAATTAATTATAATGTATAACTATGATTCCTCAGAAATTCCTCAATACTAGTTATTATCATTGAAAACATAACTATTAAATACTATTAATCTCTAATGAAGGTACTTGAATTATTAGTAACTTATCTGCTATAACTATAACAATATAACGACTATTTTATAAATTGCTCTTGTTTTTTCTCATGATCCGTTGGGTTTTCTGATCCTCCCAGTGTACCCTAGGCTTCGTGGCCCGCATTGCTATGCCCACGAGCTCCGCCTTGGCTGCTGCCTACGGTGCGGCGCGGGAGACTTTAGGGCCAGCGCGGGGGCTCGGAGTTGAGGGGTTGAGATCAGTCGGGATGGATAATTTTTATATTTGTTTCACATCTTCAAATGGTTTAAGGAAGGACATCTTGAATATTTATAGTATATATGATATTTGTCTAGTTGGTAGATTTTATCCTTAGATATGTTGATGTGATGTGTGTTGGTTGCTGGTATCTTTGTTTCAGGTACTCACTTGGAATCACCAAGCCGATTCATGAGGAGATGAGGGACTCCTTTCTGTATATAATCCATATATATATATAATATATATATATATACTGTATATTGATTGCAGCTACTCCTCAATCATAGGCAGTTCAGGTAGCAAAGGGCACTGGATCAACAGCTGTCCACCAGTTGTTTCGAGATGATGATGGTAAAGGCCTGGACCATTTATAAGGAGATGCAGAGAAAATCGCTAGGTTCGCTCAGTGGGTTATAATACAAAATCATTACAAATCAGATCATTTTGCCATTTTGCGGAAGGAACTCATCTCTGTATCTTTGTTTTTCTTGCCAAGTAGTCGTGACCAAGTTCGCATGGCCCAAACCATGCTCCTGGCCTGGTGATCAACCAGGTGATTCTTAGCTTTGGTGGCAACTGGGATGCTTTCAAACAATGCATGGATATGATTCTTGCACCTTTTATTGCAGATAGTAATTCTTGAGATAATATATATATATATATATACACACAAGTTCAGACTCTCATAACATCCCTACCTCACCCCAGGGGGGTTTGCTTCCGCGTGGTCCGAGGAAAGGCTCTTGTGGCATGGAACCTCTTGGGAATGTGTGCCTAACATCGTGTGCCGCTGTCGGGACGATGGATGATGGATGGGTGGGGACGGTTAGATCATCGATATCCAACAGATATCCAGCCTGGTGACAGATGATGGATGGATAGATCAGTTAGATCTCATTATCCAGCCTGGTGTTACAAGGCTTAGCCACTTCTGTCAAGTGTTTACAATGTTTACATCCTTTTCAGGGATCCAAGTCGGAAGAATGGAGCCGAAAGGGCAAATTTTCGTATGGAGAGATATCGCAAGACATACCTCAGCGGCGCTGCCTCAACTATGCCTTTGCCTGGTTCAAAGGATTTGGGTTTGTTCGGAAAAGGGCTACTCCATGTACTTTAGATGGTTGATCATAATTTTCCTCATTTTCCCAATAAAAACTTGGTCAGAATTGAGGGTTCATCTCCCATTTTCAGACAACAAGGCGGCACGGCTTCAATCGTGCTTACGCATTCAATGCCAGGCGCACCAAAAGACGGGGTCCAGTGCCGATAAAGCCTGGGTGATTTTGTTCATACCTCACTGCAACGTCACTGAAATGATGGTGGGGATTGGGTTTAACTATCCACAATGGAATCCACAATGGCCGAACTGTTCAATATGCTTCAAGATGTGCACTTGAATCTGGGCGGCCATAGTTCGCACAGAGCACTCAGCTGGCATCAGTTGAAGGTTGAACAGATATTACTACATGAGCGGGATGTTTCAGCAAAAATGTAGCAGAGACCAGGTCGTACACCCATATATGAACCATGTATGGAATATGTGCCAAGATTTAGCCCCAAAATGACAAATATGCCAGCATTATCGAGCATCTGAATTCAATATATATATATACAATATATATATATATATATTATATATATAATATATATATATATAATATATATAATATATATATTATATATAATATATATTTAATATAATATATATATAATATATAATATATATAATATATATAATATATATAATATATATAATATATAATATAATATATATAATATATAATATATAATATATATATAATATATAATATATAATATATATATATATATATATATAATATATACATTACATGTATATATTAAATCCTCACTGCCAATGCGAAGGCATGGTTCGAAATTGGGTCGTGGCGTCTACTTCGCAGAAGATCCGGTGCCGCGGCTGGGTTTTTTTTAGGGTGTCGTGCTGATCCGCTGGTCCAACGTATCCCAAGTATTGATGGAATCACTGTCACTGAGACTCCATTGTATTGAACCAGTATGGTCCAATACGCACAAATCAGCATATCTACAAAGTGGGGCCCCCTAGATAGCCAAGTTGGTTTATAACTCCAATAACTATGGTTTATGGTACTTATAACTATAGTTACTGGGGTTTATAAACCAATTTATAACTGGGGGGCCCCACATTGTATGAGTCACGGTCAAAATGGTTTTAGACCACTTTAGTATTGCAGATTTTTTTTCTGTCAGAAATGTGCACGAAACACTGTAAAGCGATAGAGCCCCCCAAAAGCGATAACCAGGGACCATACACGACAGTCCATTAAACTTGGCGTAAACCAAGCAAATACTGTTTGTTGTGCACATTCACAGAACGGGCAAAACCGATGAGGGAAATTGATGGAAATTGAACCTGTGGTGCCCTCTCGCTCTCTTTCTCTTTCTCTTGCTCTTTCTCTTACTCTTTCTCTTTCTCTTTCTCTTCTCTCTCTCTCTCTCTCTGTCTGTCGATTTGTCGCAAATTTCCTTCGAACAATGTCATATGTTGGAGGGGTTCGTTAGCGATAACCTTAGCGACAACTTAGCGATAACCATTTGTTGCACTTGGTCCCCTGGCCAAGCCATAGACGAGCGAGTTCCATAACTTTAGAAAGGAAATGAAAGGACATGAAGGAAATGAAAGGAAAATAATGCAAAATGAAAGGAGCATGCATGCAGATGGAAGGAAGATGAAAGGAAATGCATGCACATTGGAATGAACATGAAAGGAATATGAAAGGAAAATGAAAGGACATGAATACAAATGAAAGGAAAAGGAAGGAAAATGAAAGGAACATGAAAGGAAATGAATGCAAAACGAAAGGAAGATGCATGCACATGAAAGGAACATGAAGAAAGATGCATGCAAATGAATGCAAAATGAAAGGAACATTGTGCCGAAGCACCTGAAACCAACAAAACAATTCCTCGATCGATTTCCGAGCCTGTTTTGGAATGGATGTTGGATGATTTTGGCTTCATGTTGGATCTGGAATATGCTGATTTCCACAAAACCTCCCAAAAGCGATAACCATAACAATAGCAACTACTCAGATGTAAAGGATTTCGACGGGAGCTCATATATAATTATATATACTATGAATTCAGGTGTTTGTGATTCTTAATCCAAGCAAAAACCAGAGGATTGTTGTTGGTCCATGTGTTCTCCTGCCTCGCTGACTAATATCCCCATATTCTATCCCTATAACTACCTCCGTTTGATCGCTCCGTTGAGTTTTGTTTAGCCATATTTCTTTCAAACAAACGGAGACCCATCGAGAGCCAAAACTTGGGTGGTTCAGACAGAAAATACTGTAATTGCAATAGCAAAACCTGCAGGTTTCTAAGCCCCAGAACACCTCCGGAAATCATCAAATAATGAATATATATATATAATTCTATAATTATATGGTTCATGATATTGGGTTTACCGCTGAGTCACTGTACTGGAAACGGTCAAAGTCAGTGATTCCAACGTGCAGGGCTACGCCCTTCGCTTTGCCGGCAAGACCCAACGGACTCGTGCCATGCTGCTGGCTGGAGTCTTGTTTGGGTGACCCAGTGGGGCGGGAACACCTTGTAGACTAAACATGGGTGTGACCCGTCGTGCCAGTTGGATTGCCGGTACTTCAAAGGCCTCAGTGATGCTCTTGGAATGTTTCTTTGCCTCTGGCGTCAACCGTCGTGTTGGTTTGGCACTTGCAAAGACGTTGGCAGCTTCCAAGCAACATATGCTTTGGGTTGAAAAAAAAAACTCATGAAGTGTCCTCCGGTAATCAAATGTAGCAATTGGAAATCCCTCATTTACAAAATGATTTTCCCACTAAAGCCTCCATTTAGAGAGGATTTTCCAGCCAGCCGCGTTTGATTACCGGAGGGTACCATAAAATCTAGGACATCTTGGTTGAAGTTCCGTAGCATTCATGTCCTTTCTCTTCTTGAGAACAGAAAGTAAGCACAAATCTGCTCCTTAACATCTCCCCAGTATGTTCAACGGATGGGCCAGGGGTGTTTGTAACCTGTTTGTATTCCAAAATTCCAAAATGGGTTTATCCGAAAATGAGGTATACCCCAAAATCATCCAAAATTATCCAAAACCACCTGGTTTTCCCCAAAATTCTCAGACAAATCAGTTCGATCATGGCGGGCCAAACCTCCTAGGCCAGGGAAGCACACTCGCGGGAAGGCGCTCTGCGCTCGACATTGCCGTGTCATGGTGGAAATCTCTAGATTTAACGCACTGAATCTGAGAGCTCTACACTAAAAAAAGCACCCAAGTGGGATTCATGCTGGGTAATTATTGCTAAGTACTGCATGCCCAATACGTTGTTCAGTTCTCTCTCATATATTGATGGAAGCATTGAAGGTGCAGTAGATCTCACCAACATGAAGAGATGTTGATAGTCTACAGGCGAGAATAGAGGCACACCATGGTGACTCCGTATTTGATAATATGTGCATCCATGACTATCCATATATGTGGCGGCTACAAGAGATTGCTCGACTGTTTGACCACATTTCAGCACCTACGAAGTACAAACCATTGTTTAGAATTCAGAATCTCCAAAAAAAGGCAACAGGTTTTGAATACCCCTGTGGCATCCTGTGGCCATGTCTTCTCAATTTCTGTTCTGCAGTGATCCCACCAGAAGTTTCCGCCAGGAGGGCTTGCTTGAACCCCCAGACTCTTCGGGTGGCTTTCGCTTCGACAGCACCTGCAATGATGTGAAAAGGCGCGGTTGTAACATTTCAAAGCTGAGAAAAAAAAGGTTACGAAATGATCTAAAATGAGAAGTTCGAATGATCAAATGGTTTCAAAATGATTCAAAATGGACATAGCCCAGATTACCCCAGATGACTCGACTCCTTTACAGCAAGCTATACCTGGGGAGTTGGATTCCTGTCGGTGATCCTCTGCAAAGAACTTCATCCCAATCAAATGTCCCAAAGAATCCCAATTTCAAGAAAGGTTTCAAAAGTTCAACAATCTGGTTTTTTCAGCAACTGTTCAAAGGTTGGTTCAACCTCCATTTTTCTGGTTGGTGGTTTGGAACATTTTTTATGTTTCCATTCAGTTGGGAATGTCATCATCCCAGCTGACGAACTCCATCATTTTTCAGAGGGGTATATAGGTCAACCACCAACCAGTTCTGCTTGTTTTCATTTTCTTACTGGTGCTTAGTAGGGAATGAGGGAATGATCCAAAATCACTAGTAAGAATCATCCCAGCAACCCCCAGTCCCATCCATTCCCTACGTTTAGCACCAGTAAGTTTTTCGATCATTTTTTATTTCCCATTGAGCCCATAATATATGGGATAATCCTTCCCATTGACTAATATTTTTCAGAGGGGTAGGTCAACCACCAACCAGTGGATTTGTTGGATCTTCCCAACCGAAGCACAGGCCCCGCGTCTTTTGCGTCTTCAAGGATTTTCAGGCCTTGCCGCTCTACCTGGTCCAGGTGAGCCGGCCAAGTGGCGGTCCACCACTATGACCACTATGGACTTCACTAAATTTCACAGTACTATGTGTTAGTATAGAACTGTAGTATACTATAGTAATTTAAGAGTTTAACTATTTTTGACAGTTCTACTTAAATAAATTTCACAGTTCTACTATGTACCCTAAGAATCATTGGCACCTGGTATTGAGATACCCGTATCTCTGAGTGAGGGGTCGGTACCTCGAACCTCTGAGGGAGGGGTCGGGGCCCTCGGGGAACATAGGCCGAGGTACCGAGGTACCAAAAACTGATAAAAACTGATTGACAATTAATTTGTTCATACGTGTTCAAAACATGCTCAATATGATCAATGGACATGCCCGTCGTAAACTACACAAGTTTGATATCTTTTGTGCATGTTCATTTTGTTATGTGTTTTGCAGTGCAGCCAGGAACCACCAGTGCATCACAGAAATTGTCAGGAGAGATTTTTGGCGTGAAATGTTTAATAGTATACTATATATATATATAAAATATTACCAAATGTTGTCTAGTACATGCTGCTTAGGCTTAATTATACATATATAACCCAGACAAACAGGCCGGCTCTTCAGCCAAAATTCTTTGTGGAATACCCCTTTGAATTGTTTGTCCCAGCAGTTTTTTTGTTGGTCGAAAACTAAAACCGCAATCAAACAAGTCGCACAGAGCAATGCACGGATCTAGCCCATGTGGGGCTACAGAAGGCAACAAATGTCAGTTAGATTCTATATTTCAAAATATTTCAGCGTTTGTTTTCAAATGAACGACATTTACAAGGGAATTCGACAGTAATTTTCTATATATGATGCTATTTTATGCTATTTTATTTGCCTCGGCTTAGCGACATCTTGTGCGAGGCAATCCTAAAAAGAACAATCAACCAACAAGATGCACTGATGAAGCTAACGAAAAAAACAACACCAAGTGTTTGAAGGATTGAAATCATGCACTGATATATACATATATTGCACAAGTCAAATCCAAAAGCGTACGCACACATATACTGTACGGAAAAGTACGCCCATGTACGCCCATTTGGCTCCGTATCAAAGCCTAGATTAGATGGCATATGCATCCTAGTGGAAACTTAGTAGATTTCGTCTTAATGCATGTAACGGATGATTTCCAAACTCCTTTTCAAGCATGTAGCAGTCACAAGTCAGGTATTGCCCACATTGTTCCAGAAAGGGGAAGAATGTTTTGACTATAGGGAAAAATCATCAGGGACTGCGACCTCGCGGCTCCAAATTATATAGGAACTGAATGCATCCAAAGATTGGTAATTTCAGCCATGAATATGAGTCCTGATTCCAAAAGGATAGCAGCAAAGGTCCAAAACGAGCACAAGGATATCCACAGGAAGGTATCCAAAAGGAACCCCAAAGTGAACAACAAGGTCCAAGAAAACCAAAGGAATAGATATGGATATATAACGGACAAAACAAAATTCAAATTAAGGAAACATGTACAGTAACGATGAAGATAGAGCAACAAACAAAATAAACAGGGAAAGCAAATGTTAACGAATCAATCACATATTAGAGGAACTGAATGGGTTCAATAGCTGGCTGGGAAGGAACGTACAAGTTGATCCTAGTCTTGTGCCAGGTCATCCCAAATTGTTTACTGTGTTGTCGAACTCTACCTCTAAAACCCATGGTTCAGACCAACACCGGAGTAGTTTCGCCCTAGAAATTTCAACAATTTAGTATTTAGGTAGCTCTATTTCATGCAACATTGCGGCGTTTCATGTGAGAGCACATAGGATTTCGTAAATCGTCGGAACCCATCAGAAACCCATCGGAAACCAGAAACCCATCAGAAACCCGTCGGGAACCTGGCCGGGAACCCGGAAACCCGTCGGAAAGTCGTCGGAAACCCGTCGGAAACACTTACATGGGCCCTCAAATCAGGACCTTTTGAGGTACCGCCGTCGGAAACCCGTCGGAAACATTTGGAGGGCCAATCCTAGCAGGGTTCGGTATGGCTCAGCCACATAACATTTAGCCATATTTAGCCAATCCAATCCAGTATGTTCAACATTATCCCCCAGGCAGGGTGACAAATCAAATGGGGCATGCAATCTTTGAGAAAATGCATGAATAGATTCATTGTCTTTGTTCCAACTGTTAGTGGGTCCTGTTTAGCGACATGGTGTGTGAGAGATATCGATTCAGCAATAAACAAATACAGGACTTTGTCACCAAAACGTGCTTGAAACGCCTTGTCCTTTGTCAATACTGAACCATGAGCCGCATTGCGCATCAGCAACACATGCTTACAGCTTTGCTTGGGAATGACCGGGACTACGTTAAAAAAATATGATGTATTTGATTGTATTTGTATTTGTTAAAAGCAGCCTGAAGAACAGTAGGATCCAGCCCACACTGGTACTGGAGATTGGTGAAAGGCATGGATGAGTAAGCAGGGGTTGACCCATTGGCCCCCCTGGTAGGCTAATCTACAAAGTAGAATACTGTATAGAACTTGTGCAAGAAATGCTTTTAGCCTTACCTTACTGATATCATTTGTGAAGAGTGAAGTCATTATCAAAATGAGCAACCAAGTAAATAGCCTACCAAATGTTTGCAAATGTGAAGGAACACAGAAGCCATACAGCCCTCAAAGAAGCCTGCCTGTATACGAGCATATCGCAAATTGAAAGCATTGTTTCTGTTGGCAAATATTGACTATATCAAAAGGTGAGTATACATTCAGAAGAACGGTGACCTCGGCTCGTCCCAGTGGGCTTGGCCATAAAGATTTGCAGTTTTGAAGCGCTTTCTGTAGTTGTTTGTTTCTTGGATGCAAAAAATGCCTGTAATACTATAAGTTAATATCAAAGATACACCTGCAAAAAGCGTGCGCGAGTCCAGGCCACAATCTTGGGATAGTAATTATCGGCAGCATATAGACAGGACGGGTCAGCTTGACAAATATAATGGTCTTTCACCCTTGGCTCACAAGCACCCAGCCCGATGACATCTAAAGGGAAACGAATGTAAAACAACTGAAATCCAGAGCCATCCAGCCGGAATTGAAAAGCAACGTGCTTTTGAACCAGCAATGA